AGAGGGCACAAAAATTGACTGCACAGCGGTACAAAAGCCTTTCAATAAGAATTAGCCGCGAAATTACGGGTTTATTGAAAAACTGCGAATTTTCGATACCGCCGATAAAAATAATAATCTTCTGTCACTTCTTCGCATTTACCTGGCATAGTCCTACAGTTTCCTTACTTCAACTCAGGTCACGTTTCGATTTTATTATGGCATGATATAACTTGGTTGGGCTGGAAAGAAAACATGCTCGAAAATCAACGAGAAAACTCCGCTATAATGGGCCTACTAACGAACTGCCAAAAGACCCCTTGTATCGTACTAAAAATTTACTGTCATTACACTAGACCAACTTCATCCGTTAACCTTATTGTTAGAAACGTTAGTACTTTAAGACAATATCAGCACAACTTACCAACAAGGAACGGTTGCTTCATCGACTCCATCAAGCTTTTCAGGTCGTGTTCTACGTAGTCCATTACCAAGTATATTTTGTCCATGTTACTGCCGACAACGATTTCCTACAAATGGCAAAATAAAAGTCACAAATTACAGAAAGCAATACATCAGAAGGATTAATCCAGTAGTAGACGTAGAATCTGCAATCACTGAATCTTGCAATGACATTTTCGTAGATTCGGCTATTACTTTGATGTTCATTTAAGCGAAACGATTCTGAGAAAGACACTGCTGGAATAGCAATGAAACTGTCTTCGTGAAGGTGAAATCATGTCACACTGAACAGTGCAGTACCAGAATAATAATAAAGTTTTCACAGTGGTCAAGAGTCCATGTGATTAGATAGACTGTTGGCAGACTAGCCCTCTCCTCAATCGCCGATAGTAGACAAAGATTATCCTGTCGCTTTACACGATTAATTTCTGCGCGTTTAGTGACAAGCTATTTTAACAATATTGTGTCGTTCTCTTTTGCCATGCGCACTGACGTTTGCATTTAGCAACCTTTGGCAAGCTAAAGAAGAGGATCATTCCACATACTGCGGAAACCACCCATGTTTGGGTTATACCTCACAAACTATGGAAAACATTGTGTCGGCAAACATTTATGGAAATAATTATATTTAAAGTGAAATAACGATTTACTTTAACACGAATTTTGGACGCATAAAAAGTTTCTACCGGAAACAGTAATAAGAAGCGCTGATTTACTCGAACATTAACAATGTTGGGGTGCTTCCGGGCCTTCAACAACATATTGATTTCGCGCAGAGATGTTATCGGAAAGCCTTCCTTCTCCTTTTCCATTTTCAGTCGCTTTAATGCCACAATTTCGTCTAAAATAAAATTGTATAAAACGCTATGAACACATGTCTCAGATTTGGGTTGCTCAGTCGGTAGAATGTCGGAATCAAAATCGACCGGTCCAGAATATGACCTCTGTTTAGAATCAGTCCATTTCTTTTCTCTGAAGTTGACAAGTGAGTACCACTAATTGGAAAGGAAGCAGGAGATTACACATTATGTTTGCCACATAGCTGCTGTCAACGCTGCTTTAAAATAAAACACTCGTGGATAATGACATTGCAATCGGTATCAGGACTCTACCAATAATTTCATTAAAAGAATGGCACCAAAAAAGTATCATCATGGAAGTGTAAGGAAGAACGCTACTAAAACAATTAGAAACTTTTCTTTCCACTTCCTACCCGAATACATAGAAAACGAAAGGCGAACAACAAATAACATCTGCTGCCAAAGCAAATAAAGGAATATAACTAAAAGAAAGATGGATGTATTGAGGTCAAACTGAAACGAAGGCAACTATCTTAAACCCAAAGGTGGATCGCCACAGTCGTGTTTTGTATATACTCCTGATAACAGAAATAAATATTCTCTCTTTCTTATAATTGTCAAATTTAAAAAATGGCTGCTCGGATTAGAGGCCAGAAACTCACAGTTAACTTCACCGTTTAAACCACGGAATAAATGTCACGAAGTCCAACGAACTACCATTTCAAACGGTCATTTTCCTTGCCACATGGAATTCAATAAGTTTGAGTACATCTTACGGATTGCTGAGAGGACCAACGACAGCCGCGAATCCGTCTTTTCCCAAGGAAATTGTTAAAATCCGTGAAAGTGTTCACGACCTTTAACATGACAACTGCTGAGGAAAAAGATGGACGGTTGAAAATAACCGTAAGACATGAAACAGAGAAAGCAAGTTTCATAAACCTGTTCGCTTCTCCTTTGCCCGATACACGACACCGTAAGTTCCTTCCTCGATCCGATTAAGGCAGTGAAATTCTTCGACACTCCGACAGCCCATGATGGCGGGAAAATAAACTGGCAAAGTCAATTTCTCTTCCTCTTCTTTGATGGTTTCTGAAGCATACAACACACAGCTCAGAATATTGAGCAGTCATTCATTGAGTAAAAACATTACCAATATTTTCTTCCGCCAGAAAATCGGACGAAGTCGATTCTTTGGCAGATTCTTCAGACGCAGTAACATCGTCGTTTTGCATGCCGTCAGCTGTGTCATCAGAATAACTAGTCTCTGAAGAACTTTCAAACTTCGAGTACCGCACCTTGCTTTCTAAAAAATGAATATTAAATAATTTGCAATTCGCTAACAGCTTATTTTAAGGTTAAAACTTAAATGCACACTTAGCAACAAAATTTACGTTATTTATTATACATCAGGACGTCACATCGTACGTAGCTACATTATGTTACATCGACATGGTCAGTAGCATTAGATATTCTACAAGTACTCATTTTGCAGTATCACAAAGTAGTAAGTAAAATGATGTCAATTACAGCATAATATAAGTTATATTGCATGCACTATACTGAATAATCATCTAATGGTAATGGCACAGTACTGAATTCTACTATATAACATACGTAAACATACAGTATACATAGCGAAGTGCCGCATACTGCAGCCTGTGTTATGACATAGTATAATGAATCACTGCAGCATACGTGGAGTGATATAGAACACACAACACGGTGCAGTATACTGCCGTGCATCAATCAATACTATTCTGTACACAAAACAGGATCAAACTGAAGAGTATAATTAATACAGTTAAGTCATATTGTATGGAAAATAATTACTATATGCGAACCATGTAATACAGTTTCCTGTGTACACGGTGTAATGCAGCAGGCGTCATTCTCTTACGAGTCACTTAAGTATGATTTACTATTTACTCTGCTTTACGTAATGTATAATAACATGTGTTCCGCACTGCATGGCGCAATAACATACTATAAATAAGTCACGCGAATTGCATAGTACAGTGCAGAAAATAGTATACATTAAAATAGAACAAAATTCCACTACAATATACTGTACTGTATCCTAAAGATCATACTTCACTAGATTTTATTGGATGTTTACACTGTTATATGCCATACTGTACATAAACCTAAGAGACATTGAATTCTACCTCACATCCATTACCGTGGATGGATGTGTTACCTGAACAAACATGACACTGGACGCACACTAAACGTTAGTATGTAATACAGGAATGATACAATATGTCCTAGTGCTAGACGTATTACAGAAATGCCTGACAGAATGTGAATAAATACAGTATAGTACGGTTAAAGACTCAAGACTTTAACAATGGAGGCAATATTACATTGCCTTATAGGCATTCTATACTCAACCATACAGGAGAATACCGTACAACCAGGTACTAAATTACAGTGTGCTGTTCAGTTTCATACAAATTCACAATATAAAACCAGAGTAAAATTTAGAGTGCAGTAAATAGAACATAATCTGTCATAACAATTTCCAGACTACAGAAAAGTATTGTATATTCGAACACAAACGAATATAAGTACACTGTACTCTACAATATTATAATGCATGGCCATAAAGTACCAAAGCAATACCAATTGCACAATTTATATAGAACTGCACATATTATACATTCCCGTGTTATTTTTACTAATTACATTGCACTATTTAAACCATACAACACGGCTAATTGCCTGTTACGCAGCAGTTTCCCGATCTGCTACGTTACACCGCATGGACTGCATGCAACAGACCAGTGCAATATAATGTGATACAATTCATAAACCGCTATGGAATGTGATGAAGCGCTGCATTGAGCACACTAATGTGCACTACATTCATCGGCACTAATGTGCACATCATTCATCATTTAGTCTGCCATATTGTTGTTTAGTACAGGAATGAATGACAGAGCGTAATACAGTATAATACACTATAATAGAATATATCACGTTGGATCATACAGGAGAATACTACATACACTGCGATCTAACATTCCCAGTAGGTACGGCACAATATAACGTATGTACTGCAGAACAAAAGGAACAACAGTACTTCTCAGCGAAATATAGTACGAGCAGTACTATGTACCATAAAGTGTAGTGTACCAAGCTCGACAAGCTATCATCTTTTATACTACATGTCCTTCCTAAGCAACTTTCACAGACATACCTATCATGCTTGATACAGTATAGCATACATACAATAGCACGTTAACATGCTGTATTATAGTAGATATATATTAGCATGTCATATACTGTATACTATATAACACATGGTATAACACTTTGAAGATCTAACATGCAGTAAAAGTTTTTTTTACTATGTTGGTTCCTGGTGGTTCAACAGCATCGAGATAGGCTATAGAATATTTAACGAGAACAAAGTGAGACCCTAATATATTTCGTCACTACACAGAAGAAAGCAATCTGCAGCTCAGTATATGGCAAGCCAAATGAAGGATGCAATGCAAAAGCACACTTCCGTTGCATTATGTCGTATGTAATATATAGTAATTCACGACTTCGTCAAATATTGTACGCATCTGTGAGGTGAGCACTAATAAAATTACCCTTTACGTCCTGTTCGCTATCCCCGTCGCTTGAAGCCTCGTTGGCAACGATGCCGTCAGGTACATCATCTTCGCTAAGCCGTCCTTGCTCCTTGTCAGATTCGGTACGCGAAGAACTGCTTGACCGACTGGAATCTATAAATAGAACGAATTAAGTACTAAAAATAAAGAGGGGTATTCAAAAAACACGTAAAACAAATATAAAATTCATAACGGATGGCTAAACGTATTGCAAAAAAGCACGTATTCTTGAAAAGACGGCTGAGCAAGTACGTCAAAGAGTATAGTGTTAAAAACAAATAACAGAAAAATAAAGCCAGACACTTTAAAATGCTTGATTCCCAAAGACGGTCTCTCGAGTCTACCTTGGATAACTCTATGACGCAGAACGAATACGACTACAGTATGGAATCGCATTTCTAAACAAAATACTGTTAAGTGCTTGCTGTTAAGTGGGTACTAGAGCCACAATGGTTTGGCACCAACGTCGAAACGATCAGCTACACAGAAACTCCGGTAACCGAAGCTAAAAGAGTCGCTCGTGTGTTTATACGGTTTTGACTAAGAAGCGACAAGCAATAAAATGACCATCCTTCGAAACAACAGTTAGGGACAACTAAGGATCTGACCGAACACGACTAGACAAGTTTAAACCAACTTTTAGATTGCATCATTACGAATTTTTTCAGAGCAATGAAAAATAACAGTTCTACTACATAAACAAGTACGCAGATTCCATGAAACAGTAAAGTACTTCACATATTTTCGATATATCATATGAAATGTTGGACTTTTTACCAATTCAGGGTCAAAAAAACCATCCTTTTCCTTTTCACTGAATCTGCATGTTAGCAAACATCCTGCACAGAATTACTCTTTATTACTTAAAGAAGAGCTGTTGAATCTTTGTTGTCGCTGCAACGTTTTCCACTTAGCTTCCAGAAAGAAATTTACAAAACTCAATTTGAACATGAAAAATGCAATAGAAAAAATAATTAGCAAATGCAGAGGAGGCTAGACGAAAGAATCTAAATAGGTTACGGTGAACCGTTCACACCAAGGTGGAAAACGAGACGAGAGTCAAAAATTTTTAACGAACCTGGAATTTCGCAGCGTATATTCAAAAACCCCGGTCGAACCAGGTCTATAACTTCAAAGATCGGTTAGCAACACTACATTACAAATGTGTTTGGCTCTTACTAATCAACGACAAATTGAACTTAATTAGACAAAATATTTTGACCGATCAGCTAATGCACAGTGTACAGTATGCTCTCTGCAATTACGCCAGTGACACAGTACATAATGCAGAGACAATTTAATAAATCAGGCACATTTGGTTTCAGTGTGTTTTGGTATTGCTCATTTGCAATTACGCGTCTAAGGGTCACTGATATACGTCAGGGTTCAAAGGCGTTTGAGTTATGGCAGCAGCAGATGCATTTCGTTTCATATTATAGGCTAAAGCAATAGACTGCTAATCGCCAATAACTTTTTAGAACTAGTATTTATTAAACTAAAGTCTTGTTAATTTTTATTCAAGGCTTCAGTTAAAGCCTACGCGATATGTGGTGCGGAGGGTAAACTATTGGGGAAGAAGCAGAAAAACCTGAGTAAACCAAATCACACAGAGCTATCACCTGTAGGGAAGATGTCTAGATAAGTGTAAGTACCATGGATAAAAGTGAATACCATTTGCCAAGACCGAATGAAATTTAAAGCACAAACAAAAACGGCCCATAGTCCTCTGCATGCATTTCGAGTCAGACAACGGCGGACAACATTGCAAGATTGGCGGATGAACAACGAAGTTCAGCGGTGACGGATATGCACCAAAGGTGCTGCAAACACCAAATTGGAAGATCTTGGTTCAGATGGGAGGATGAGGTAACGCGAAAAATATGGAACTTGTGACGACAAATCGTGTGAGTCAAATGATCACGGTAATTGACACCAAGCAATGATGATCCCTGATAATTATGAACAAGGATCAGTGAACTGCTGTTGTAGTAGTAATTACGATTAACGATTAATAACGACTACCTTTCACTTGGCTAAAATGGTTGCTGAGAAGGGGTAAACGTAAGAAAGTGCCTTCAAAGTTCAATCGGAAGAAAGCATAGCAATCGATTAATATACAGACCGTCTGATAGGACTAGATCACAGCACAACCTAGCTGACCTCTCGTCTCGACTCTTCCAGTGCTTGCACCAAACCACTATTAAGCGAATTAATTGCTAAACGGAAAGTCTACTTTACCACAGAGGTTTCTACAGCAACTGAAGCATCTTCCCTGCCATTTACTGATTTAAAAAAATATCCGATAGACCACAGGGTTACAGTGTTTTCATGCTTATTGACGAAGATAGTACAGATATTAGGCTACAGTGTTTCCACTGTAACGAACATTTAGAATGACTTCAAATACTTATCGATTTACGAA